ACCATTTTCAGCAAATATGAAGAGAGAAGGGTCCAGAGTTGATACTGGATGCTTTCAAGGACAAACTGAAATCCGGTTGCAGTTATAGCGGTCGAGTTCAGCAAACATCCGGACGAAATAAGCAATTGCCTCATAAAGGCATCCTTTTGCGAAATTTTAATTTCTACAAGTAGGAATGCTAGATTTACTTGTTTTCGATGGCGTTTCCAGCGGGGCCGCTTCGCAGGATACCAAAATCGACAGGATTTTCTCGAAAATTACTATAAGAACCGCATACATTGTAGGTGTTTGTCTGGTATGTCAGAATCGAGGATTTATCCAGTCGATATGCATCGGGATGTGTTGGTCTTTTTAAGAAGACCCTATTTGCGCTGGATGGAATCACAAGATTGCAAAATGAGTCCCTTAGACAAGTTGAAAACATCGGGTTGAGCCAAACTTTGGACTCCAGTCCCTGAAGCAACTTGAATGCCTTCAACGTAGCAAGCGTAGAATTTGAGGTGCTGTTGATACAGTAAAGCTTTTATTGCAAACCTGGAGGGCATGTCCGGTGTAAAGACTAGCTCATAAATATCCTTCAGCCCTATATGAGAATCCATAAATAGCAGTTTGGAAACAACGAGCTGGGCCTCCATAGGAAGCGATCTATGGGTAAAAACAGAACAAAACCTAAAAATTGCAAGCGAAAACGCAGGATGTGCGATCAAATCGTCAAGCAATTGGGCTCCAAGGATCTTTGAAATGGTTTTCAGGAACATGGCCAAATTTAATAAAAAAACCCCCAATTTTTTTATGAGATTAGACACTTGTAACTTTGGATTTCTCTCCAAATCCGACTGGCGTATCTTATATGCCATTGAAAGTGAATCAAAAACGCATGAAATTGTGCCGATTAAATTGATTTCTAAGCGGACAAAATTGGATCCCGTCTCTATTGACCAAGCTTGTGCGCTTCTTATGCGGTTTAAACTTTTAAGAAGAGAGGGCGAAGTTCAACATGGTGGTGCGTCTCAAGAAAACTGCAACATGACCGGGTCAACTAGTAGCTGCATTGATACCAATAAAGATCTGGCCTCTTCTCAACACAGAAGAAGGGGTCGAAAAGGGATCCCTCTTGGAACCTTGGGATACATTTTGGGATTTGGAGGCTTGGACTATTTAGCTCTGCATTTTTTCAAGCAAAAGAATTCTCTTTCTTGCATCTCAAACTCACGACTTGGTGTTGGAAAAGAGGCCGATATTCATGTTGGCGAACGTCTATCGCCCACTGACGGGGCCTTTCCAAAAGCAATTGTTGTCAAGTTTCATCGTCTGGGGCGAACGTCTTTTCGCTCAGTTCGAACCAAACGAGACTACCATCTCGGAAAGGGGGCAAATGCATCTTTCCATGCTTGCAGCTGCAAAAGAGTGGGCATTCTTAAAGGTTTTGTGGTGCAAAATTCACTATTTTAGGCCCTTTATCAGCTTGGCTTTTCAGTGCCCATTCCCGTTGATCACAACAGACATGCAATTGTAATGGAAAGAATCGATGGACTTCCTTTAAACCAAGTTACGCATCTATTGGATCCACAGAGACTTTATCACGAGCTTGTTTCAATGATTGTGGCCATTGCACGATTGGGGCTGGTCCATGGGGACTTTAACGAGTTTAATGTTCTCGTCAGAAATCGCGACGAATCGCCTGTTCTTATCGATTTCCCCCAAATGGTCTCAATCAAGCATCGGAACGCTGCAGAGTAAAGTTCAGATGATTTATTCTAGATTTTATGAAAGGGACATAAGCTGCATTAGGAAATGGTTTAAAAGAAACTTTCCAACCGTTGATCTGGACTTTACATGCCAAGGTAATGTGTCAAAAACAGTGGCACCCTCCTCCCTTTGTTCCCTTGAATCTTCAGATGAGCTGAAAGCAGATGATATACGAGGAGAAGACTCCCAAGAATCAAAGCACACTTTCGGTTCTCCACATAAAGGCCATGCTGAAAATAAACTCGCCGAAGACAATCACGAAGAGTGTCGGATTTCTGAGGGCTGCTTTGCTGCCTTTGATTCCAACCCTGACAGCGGCGAGCCTGATGCTAGAGATTTTGGCTCTAGTGGCTCGTGTGTCTCCGAAAATGATGATATCGACTATGATTCTGGTTACGATTCCCCCAGGACCGGATCATGCACTTCGAGTCTTTTAGGATCGTCTTCCGATTCAGAGTCCGTCGAATCACTAGCTGAAGATCGCGAGTTTCCCCCCTATCTTTCAATGATAATCAAGGAATTAGAAGAAACAGGTCAATCCCCTCTCGATGAAGTCTTAAAGGCTTCTGGATATACCCATGGGCTTGAGGAAGAATTGGACAAGTACTGGGGGTTTTTGGCTATCCAATAAATTATTTAACAGCAAAGTGATGATCCATATGAAATTTTCCAAACAAGCAGCATATTCCGTCGCTTCCAGAGCATAGTTTAGTGGCTTTTTCTCATGATTGATCATCGCAAATGCATGTGCCTTCGAATTCCTTGCACCTGAACGTGGAGGGCCAGGCTCCAAAACAAGCTGGTCCCAATGACTTTTCAGGGGCATTCTTTTCCACCATCTCCTGTGGAAAAGACAGCCATCATTGTGATGCAGCCAGTATTTGGGCAAAAATGGTGATCGACCATCCGTTCCTAGATTCTCGTCTAAATCCTGCGGCATGCTCAGGACTTATTTAAATCGCTAGAATTATCTTTTATCCTATAACGCAACTAGTACTAGCAATGAAAGTTTTATTGAAAGGTAGATCAAATACCTGATGGATGAATAATCTTTTTTGAACCTCCATCTTTTGAAACTTCACCTTTTGAAACTTCACCTTTTGAAACTTCACTTTCTGAAACTTCACTTTCTGAAACTTCACTTTCTGAAACTTCATCTTCTGAATATCCATCATTACCTGATTCTACCTCATCTTCTGAGTATCCATCATTACCTGATTCTACCTCATCTTCTGAATATCCATCATTACCTGATTCTACCTCATCTTTTGAACCTTCATTATTACAATTGGTATCTGATTCTACATCTTCTTCTGAACCTCCATCAGTACAATCGCTACCTGATTGTACCTTCTTTTTTTTGTACAAACCACCATACCCCGAGTCACTACTATTCAATCGCAAAATCTTGGGATCTTTAGAAACTTCATTTTCACTATCGCTATCTTCAAGAATTACCGGTAATTCTTGATCTTTTAGACCTTTTATATGTTTTAGATCCCTTTTTGTCTGTTGAGAATTATCATTTATGGTTGTATCACCATTGATTTTTTCAATTTCTTCAGGAGTTTTCTCAGTCAAAACAGGAATAGAAGAATCTCCTTCAGAATCGCAAGGAGGTTTGTTGGTGTCTGGAGGCGAGCACATAATGAAATGGTTTCCAACAATAAAGAATAGTAAAAAAGCACTAACCAGTATTTTAAGCAGCATATGAACTTGAAAATAAAAAGTCTCCTAATTAACAAACAAGTGTACTCGTGCAAAAATCGATTAGTAATTCGCAATTAAATGCCTCCAATCAAATTTAGCACAAAGGTCACTGTGATATTTGTGTATTTAAATTATTTTAATTACCCACTCGTCAAGACGATCATAGTGCATGAAAATGAAATTTACATCCATCCACACGATGCGCTGGCGTTCAAAGGTACCTCAACTGCTTCAGCTAGTGCAAGACTTTGCTTTGCTAAATACAAACACTATTCACCAACATCCATTTTAAATACTGGTGAATGATACCATTAGTACTTGATTAGATCAACATGATTCGCAAAAGAAATGCAATTTAAACCAAACAATTCAATCAATAGAATTGGAGTGTGAAAAGTAGCAATCAGATTATAAAAGAGGCTCCATTAATAAATGGAACGGTGGGTTTGTATAACGTGACTTTTTTTGGTTTCAGCGGCCAAATTGGTTTTTTCACTGGCCAAGAAAAGATGTTTTCCTATTAGATGAGATTTTCTGAAAAACACCGCTCTTTAAATAAGATCTTTGAGTTTTGAGATTTTTACCATAAGATAGATGTGAAAATCGGTGCACCATTTCGGAAATCTTGATACAAACAAATTCCTGAAAAAGTGCACCATCAAGAAAGTTTCACCTGAAACAAAAAGGTATTCAACCATCGATTGACAAGTACAAGAGGAGTTGAGCCGGTTTATTGCAGTTTAAGTTATGAAATTACCCCAGTTGTAAGGATAGAGACATGAACGGGGTCGGATCCACAGAGAAGAATGGCTTCTGACCCATCTGATGCTTTAAGAACAATTGATTTTGAATGCGGGCTTATTCCAAGTGCTGGTTGAACGGTCTCCCAATGGAGTTTCTTTGGATTTAAAATGGGATCAGCCGGGAAAGATCCCAAAGAGCCAGATTCGCCTGGAATAGAAAATGTTGCTCGATCACCCGGTTGGGCACTCTTTGGGGGCGCGATAAATTCGACATTCCCACAGGGGCCACGGGCAACCAAGACCATCGCTTGCGACTTTACCCCCCTCATGGAGGCAGGCTTCAGATTTGCCACAAATAGGCACAATTTTCCTTGGATTTGATCTGGAGTGAAATATGGGACCAACCCCGAAACGACTGTTCGGATTCCGAGTACACTTCCAAAGTCAACCTGTTCAATGTAGAGCTTATCGGCAGATGGATGCTTTTCAACACTCATCATGCGCCCGACACGTAGATCAAGATGTGATGATGTGGAAACCAAATCTTGAATTGATAAAGAAGATGCTATTAGCGGTGGTGGTGCTGGCGATGATGGCGAGGAAGATGGTTGAATTGGATCCACAGCTTCGGACATGCTATTCTTTAAAAACTAGCTTTTGTAATTTACTTTAAACTTTGCAATAAAATTTAAACATCCAGAGATGTGGGTAGTTAGTTTTTCGACTGGCATTATTTTAAAGCAATCCTTCATATTAGGTGCAATCTAGGATAGGTCCGACAAACTTACCTCACATCCTGTGATTGCATACCTGAGCCACAAATAAAAAGTGGCCCTGTCAATAGTATTACCAAACACCTCATACAAATGGTCGATGTTTTCCTTGCCGTTAGGGTTATTTTGAAGCCATGACAATGTGGATTGCAAAAAAGGCACTGATATGAAAGCAAATTTAGGACGCTGCTTACCTAGAAGCTCATTTGATATGACCTTCATGGTAAAGGCGTCATTGGAGTAAGATGGTGGCATGAAGAAGCACTTTGAAAGTGCAGGCATGCTAGTGACGCAACCGACTTTTCCCTAAAAAAAGCTGGTCAAATGTACCTTGAGCGCCAAGAAGACACTCCTCAAGTATGAATGATCTTCAATCCATGGCGATTGGGTAAGGTTGTATTGAGAAACCAATAAATTTTGAAATATTCGAATTTGGTCCGTGAGATCGTCATGGGGGGTTAGCCTGGACAGGTGCTTCTTGTTGATTGATGACAACTTTAAACGCGACATGATAGCAGGCGATTTTTGCACCTTTTCAAGGTTGAACTAACGATGAAAGCGTGGGACGATGGCTACCTCCGCTGCAAGATCTTCGATTGATAGCAACTCTGCCGAAGGTGTCCACCCGAGAGAAGAAATAAAATTAACAATTGCCGTCGGCAGAATTCCTTGGTCCTGCGTGATAGGCCAAGCGAAAACGCTTACCTTATAATACTCGACAAAGGCATGGTTTTGTCGCTTTGAAAGCTTTGAGCCGTCTGCATTGGTTAATAGCGGAAGATGGGCAAAGGCCGGCGAGTCCCATCCAAAGCATTCATAGAGGTACAAATGGAGGGGAGTAGAGGCAAGCCATTCCTAAAACATCAGCATAAGGCCCTACAGATCCCCGAAGAACATGCGAAATATTCATTTCATGGTCGTCAACTACGTTTGCCAAATGATAAGTGGGCCAACCTACAAGTAACGATACCATGGTACCATCGGACTTGAGCAAAATTGGGTCGGCCGGAACATGCTTGAAGTATCCAAAAAGTGCATCTCCATAAACCAAATCTCTGAACGAGGCCTTTAACAGCTTGTTTTGCACATCTTCATATAAAGATTGATCGACCTATTGAACGAATTATTTGATCGAACTACATACCTTCAATCTAATGGCAAATGGCTTGCCACACAAATTGGGGTTCTCACATCGAGAAAGGGATCTGCATGTTCCGCCATAAGCAGAAGGCGGGGTTAGACCATCAGGGCTAAGCTCCTTGGGGCAATAACACCTGTAGGCAAATCCTTTGTCCAAAAGAACTTTTGCGTGGGACCGATAAAGATCAAGCCTTGACGATTGGCAGATGTGCGGAAAGGATCTTCCTAAATGGTCTACATATGGATCAAATTTAATGCCAGTCCAATTTAATATTGAAATAAACGACGAAGCGGCCCCGGCAACGCTTCTAGCCTAGGAAAAGTAAGCGTTTCCCCTATACTTTGTCTGTGTCTTCGATTCGCAAAAATAGCTGTCCGTGATGTTTTTTTGCAAAGAAATAGTTAAACAAGGCGGTTCGGAGCCCGCCCAGATGAAGCTTTCCCGTTGGAGAGGGAGCAAACCTCAGTCTTGGATGGAAGCCCATCAAATTAATTAAAAAATTTGGGGTAATTTTTAGTGTGTCACGTCCGGCCTATGGTTACTTTTGCCTGCGATGCTTGCCAAGAAATACACAAAAAGGCCAAATTGGATGCACATGCTGCAAAATGCAGGGGTGCTCGATTTTCGTGTCTCGACTGCAACACGTCGTTCTCAGGCGATCAGTATCGCAACCACACCACATGTATTAGTGAGGCAGAGAAATATCAAAAGACCAACTTTGTCAAGAATAAAACTAGCGCCTTGTCAAATGTTGCCAAGAAGAGGTGTATCAACCCCGCCCCCATTGGCTCTGATTCTGCATTAGCTTTGCCAGCGTCTCTGGCCACACCTTTGCCAGCGTCTCTGGCCACACCTTTGCCAGCGTCTCCGGCCACACCTTTGCCAGCGTCTCCGGCCACACCTTTGCCAGCGTCTCTGGCCACACCTTTGCCAACCTTTTTAACAGTTCCTTTTCGTATTCCTAGGAATGTTGAAAAGAAATTGGCCAAACATATTTCTTTATACAAACTTTTAAAACATTTAAAGCGGCAAAAACTCGACCATCAAGCAAAAGGGCTGTTGAAAACTATTTTTGTAACCTCAAGGGATCCTCGAAACCTTGAAATGCGCATTACCAAATAAATTAACATTTAACCCAGCATGAGTTGGCAACGCAATTTTTGATGGAGCTTGTCTCAAGTAGTTGGTATTTTCGTGATGCATATAGTCGAGGTTCTACTGACTTCTACAAGAATTGCCATCGACGAGCTTAAACAGACACTTGATGAGTTTATTTCAGGCAGGACCTTCAAAATTGACTCTATCGTCTCCTTTAGCGCCTCTTCTCGCATCCACAAATCCATCCTACAAGTAAAGCTTTGCGAATGCAAATGTTCGCCAATTTCGCCTGTTAATTTTAGTCGATCGCGTCAAAAGATTGGTTTTTTTCCCGCAATTCGGCAGCTCCCAAGATGCTCGTCACCTTGAACACAGTGGCTGTGGAGAGGACGAAGTTTTGGTGGTGGCGCCAAAATACTTTTACTATTCCCTATCTGTAAGCTCTTTTTGCCTTCACGAAATGATCATGAAGGACAAAGACCAAAGGCTATTTATTTTTCCAGGAGAAGAGTCTGCAAGCAATGAGGGCTTTTTCAAGGCCATTTCATGCCGTGTACTTCCGTCAAAAATATTTTTCGGGCTGTGGGAATCGTACGTTGCGTGGCGAAATTATTGTTTAGCATTTTGTTTGTGGAAGAGGAGAATCTGCTAATGAAATTGCTGGACTTTTGCTGCATATGTTTGGTGTTTTCTAGGCTCAAGGCAGATTCGCCCTCCATTTCGTTGAACAGGTTTGGCTGCCACCTTTCTTTATGATTGATTTTACTATATGGACCCCCAGGTACGGGAAAAACGACAATGTGCAAAGCTCTTAGCCAAAAGCTGTCCATCAGATTCAGCCCACAGTACGTGCTGTGTTCCCTTACCCCTTTATAAGATATCCGGATGGGTTCATATTTATCGAGCTAAACGGAAGCTCCATCTTATCGAAATGGTATTCTGAAAGCAGCAAGAACCTTTCCCTTCTATTTGAATGTATTTTTTCGCTGGCAGAGAACGAATTCCGCTTTATAATTCTTCTGATGGGTATTGATAATCACATACAAAGTAGACGAAATCGAAAGCATTGTCGGTTCGCGGGAAAGATCGCTTTTGAGCAACGAGCCTCAAGATTCCATTCGAGTTGTCAATGTGCTTTTAACGCAGCTCGACAGGCTGCGGTTGTATTCAAACATTCTCATCCTTGCGACCTCAAATTTTTCAGACTCCCTTGATAACGCCTTCATAGATCGAGCAGATATTGTGATCAAGGTGCCGCCCCCATCTACTTTGGGCGTTTATTCCATCCTATGCGATTCCATAAAAGAAATGTGCAAGATAAACTTGATTTCCCCGGAAATATATTTTATCGACCCCGTCGCCGTATCGATCCTACAGCCGGGCGCACTTGTGCAGTCAAATGACGGCACTCTTAACCCGTATGAAGACTCGGTCGCATTTTCAATCAGAATATACAACTTGGCTCTTGTTATCAAGGTAATTTGGAGTTGCCTCCAATTGTTCAGGGGAAAAGCGGGCGGTTTATCCGAAAATTACCTATCAATGCACTAAGTTTGATCCGAAAAGTAAGCCCAAATAGCAGCATGATTTACCGTGCTAGGATCCCCCCTTCACACCGGAGGACATTTTACGCGCATACGAACAATACTTGGCCAAACTGCACCACACATGTTGTTGAATTCAAATCGTCCTTAATGGCTTTAATTATTTTTTCTTTGGAAGCTTCAGAACAAGCCCCCGGCGAATAAGTAAATAATCAATCCCGGTGGCTATTGTTGTAAAAGCGACAATCGGTCTAGTATAAAAATCAAACACAGGAGGTACTCTAAATAGCTCTGAAAGTTGGAGCCAAGCGATGAAATGCCCTCAAGCTGTGATAGGATGGCTGTTGCGAACAGCATAAACTGCAATGCCGTATTAACCTACAAAATTTGACAAAACAGAAACCTTGCTAATGCGTGAAGGCTGAATTTCGGAAAAGTGATTTGAAGGCGTTTTCTATGTTTAATCACGTGAGAAGAGCTAGATACCTTCATTTTCAAATATAGGCTGCTCAACAGCAGCAAGATATCTCGCGCGACGATTATGCCAAACACAGGAACTGCAAACGTAATTAACTTGCACGCGTACTTGAAATCATCGAGTTGTATGCGAGGGAGCAGGCCAAACACCCGGCAAAGATTTTGTCGGACAGAGGATCCAAAAATGTCCCCAGCCTGCTTTGCATGCCAAACCTTCGAGCTATGTATCCATCGGCCTACCAATATTAGAGGATCATTTACCCAGTCGGAAATGGCGCAAAGCATAAACAGAGGAAAAGAAACGAAAAGATTATTTTTCACAACAAAGTAGCACAAAATAGGACTCAGTCCGATGCGGCAAACCGAAATCATATTGGGGATCGTTACAATTTTCTCATATTTTAAGTCGGCGGTTTTCAGATTGTGCGTTTTGTACGCACCAAGTGCACGAGTTGAATTTACATTTGAAAAGCCGAGGGGACCAGGCTTCAGGGAAAGCAATTCCGAGGGAATGGCAGATAGCAGAAATTTACACCCCTCAAATGAATGGTACGTTAATATCACGCTACCATAAATTTGATTGAGTTTACGGAGAGGATGGCTGCCCAGCCCAGGGCAGAAAACCATCTAAAATTAATTTATTTTTTAATTTTTCGACATAAGGCAAATGAAAAATCCATTGCTTCTTGAAGACTCGGGCTCAAATCTGATTGCGCAAGCGGCTCCCTCAACAATCTCAACCAAATGGACGGGATGAAGGTCTTTTAATTGATAAACATATGGGACCGGCAACAAGAAAGCCGATTTTTCCTGAGCCAAAAAATCTTTTATCACATTTTCATTCTGGGCCTGTGTACGACTATCCCCAAAACTAGCTTAAAGGGAATATGCTTACCTGCACGTGCAATAAACAAGCATTCCACCTACCCTCAACAAGGAAAATGCAGACTTTAGCAAGGATTTTTGTGTTTCAATTGTGTTAGTTTCATTTACATCTGTCCAATAAGGCTGCGGATTTGTGTTGGCTCCACATGGGGACAGAGATTTTAGCACATGCTTAATGGAGCCGTCATGGGTACATTGGGCATCAAGAATAATTTTGTCGTACGCTGGAACCTCCTGGTAATAGCATCTGCGTTTCCGATACTGAGAAGTCGAGTAGAATGGCTTCTTAACTTGCAGGTGGAACTCTTTCGCAATAAAATTATCTGGTTTGCAAAGTTGATTTTCTGGAATTGCGATCCCAATTTTTTCTGCAAGGACGTTCGTGGAATCGCCTTTGAAAAGCCGACACTTGGGGACCTTGATTTTTTTCACCAAAGAAGTGGCATCTCGTAGCCTATGTGCAGAAATATCGATTCCAGTAACAGATCCAACTCCAGATGTCCCAATAATTGAGGCTGCCAACGAAAGTTTAAGTCCCGGGGCACAACACATGTCAAGGACATGGTCATGTGCTTGGATATCCAAAATCCAAATCGCAAAAATAGACGGAAAATCCATGCTAAAAATCTTCCCTTGTTTAAATGGAAGAGAGGACCCTATGTTTATGGACGGATCCATCTCAAACCATGCCAAAGAGTCGGAAAGATGGTATTTCTTTGCATCAGGAAAGTGCTTCAAAATCGATTCCTCACATGTATCTTGGCATAGCGAGTTAATGGTAAAGGATCTTGGAATGTTGGCAAGAACCTCGTGAAAATAGGGCGCTGAAGAGAGATTGTTTCTTGATAAAAAATCAAGAAAAAAGGCCGGAAGCGGCCCAGTCATAAATTCGAAAAAAAATAATTTTTATGAATTCTTTTGCAGCCACCAAAAATGGTGACGATAGCGATGATGATGGACATCAGATGCAGGCGAAGACTGGATTTAAAAAAGAAACCACATTATCTCCTATAGGCCGTGCGGATATTACAAAGCCTTTTCATAATCCTTCAAATACAAATGCTCCTCTTGAAATAGGCCGGTCTGATTGGGACCCATTTGCGGCCAGCCAAATTGGCTCCCAATCTTCTGGAATGCTGCTTTCGGGTGCTTCCCTACACAAGGAGGCATCGTCTCCTAGAATTAAAGGGCTACACCCCGATGCGGTCCCCCCAGGTGTTCGCTTTGATATCATTCATCCTGCCGGAGTGGAGTATGATGGAGACAAGGATCTGCGTCAACATCCGTTCCTTCGAGTTTCACGAAGACCATCCTCAACAAGGTTTGAATGATTAATTAAATTATCAGCGGTGATCCCGACAATGATGAGCTGCTTCCGCCATCTTCTCAAGGCCCAAAAGCTAGCTTTGGGTTCAATCTACATCGAGGAGGGCCATCATTCTAATACTTGCCATGGCAAAGAAAAACTAGAATTTCAATGCATCCAAATAAAGCCTTTTCCTTTGAATCGCCGAAATTACTTGGACCCTCCCGGCTAAATTAACTTTCAAAGGTAGAATAATTTGGCGCACCCATTTGGGAAGATAATTTTGCCATTAATCGTGGTAGAAGTAATGAAAAATATATTTGCCACACAAAACGATACCAACGTAGAAGGCACCCAACCAAAATACGGTCGATACTTTGGATGGGTGCAAAATATCATTGTACAATGCGGCGACTCGTTCGAATCCGTCTGGTGCACCAAACGGCTTTTCAGTATTCGATGTTATAACCCAATCGGCAAGTCTTTCTTTCTCATCAAGGGGCATTTGCGTGTTGACTATTTGAAGGGCCTGTTTTCTTTGCAGATCTGGCCTGCGGAATAATAGCCTTTTGAGCTGGATTTCCTGCGAGCTAAGAGATATAGTAAATAAGCTGGTGGGTACCAAGTGGTAACGATGATTTCTGAAAAAAACATTCCAAGACCCAGCTCAAATAGAAGCGGGACCTCAACGATGACGGCATCTGTTCCTTTCAGAAAGTTCCAAGCTATCAAAAAAAGCAACCTTCTAAAGACTATGGGATGGATGATGGCCTCAAGAATCTTTTTTTTTTCCGCTTCGTGAAAGACAATTTTGCCCAAAGCACCCCTGTCCACAATGGTGCACGAGGGATCTTGAAAAATCGATTTTCCAAAATTTTCTTCTAGCTTTCTCTTCACTTTAACATCCCCAGATATGATCTCGTGAGTTATTAAGTCAGCATCAAGGATAGGAAATTTCGAATTCTGCCTGAACCAATTGCACAGGGTTGATTTTCCAGTGGCAATGCCTCCTGTAATTCCGATAATTTTCATTTTAAAATTAATTAATTAATTAATTCATTAATTTATTTACTTCAGAAAGCGACTCTAATGTGGCGTTGATGATGTCTTGAAATATTGAATAGATAGCGGGATCCTCTTTAAGCATTTCGACTTTGCCCTCGTCGCAGATTTTTCCAATTAGCGGTTCAATAGGAATGGAGCCTAAAAATCGCAGCCCCATTTTTTTGCATAATATCCGGCAGCCAGATCCCTCAAGTTGCTCAAATAACCCTGATTGCCTTTTACAAGACGGACAGCAAAAAGAAGACATGTTTTCAACAAGTCCCAAAATGGGAATCGAAACCTTTGTGCAGAAGCTTATTTCCTTTTTTACATCGCTAATGGCTAGCTCCTACCTTTATCAATTGCACACAAATAAATACCTGAGGCGTAGAAATAATTATAGAGCTAAGGGTGTATGAGGTATTTTCCTGCTTCAAAAGTTTTGCTATCGAAATGTGCTCGTCCGAAGTTCCTGGAGGCGTATCAATTATTAGGTAATCAAGTGCCTCTTCTTCAGAATTTGCCCAATTGACGTCCTTCAGGAATTGCTTAATAAGCCCATTTTTCTTTGGACCTCTCCAAACAACAGCCAACTCATCAGACGGAAGCATATAGGAGATAGATATTACAGAAAGCGTGTCCAAAACACTTATCGGCTCCAGCCCCATCCCACTTACGTGGAGAGTTTCGCCTAGAGTTCCTGTCATTATTGGGATAGAGGGGCCACAAATGTCCAAATCAAGAAGGCCGACCTTATAGTTAGTGACATCCACTTGCTTGGTACTTAGATTCTGCCAATACTGTCGCCAAAAGCGTCGAAATGGTGCTTTTCCCTACACCGCCTTTCCCAGAAAGGACCAAAATGATATTCTTGACGTGAGCCAAGTTTTCCAGAATCAAAGGTAAATCTACACCGTTTGAATGCGAAAACAGACCTTGATCCTGCTCTGCCCCTCCTGTAGTAGATGCGCAAATTGTCTGGTTTGGACATCCTTGGCACGATTCTGCCTTTCCAGCCTCGGTGCTGGTAGTTCCTGGACAATTTTCTATAGTTCAATCAAAATGGTGGCAAACCAGGTGCCTTATGTGGGAGGGAGGACATTTAAATATTAATTATTTAAATGCCATTCAAAAGCCTCTCCTCATTGGGCCAACGGTTTCTTTTAAATCGGATTGCCAGGAGAACGCTCTTTATTCATTCCGAGGCAACGCCAAATCCAAGCTCTAGAAAATTTATTCCCGAGGAAAACGATTCTATTGTACCGTTTTTTAAAAACGAATCATCTTCCTCCCCTGCTTTCGAATGGGGGCTGAAGGAGAACAAAAGAGAGTTGGAATTACTTTATAACACCAGCGGAAGAAATCCGCCAAAAAGACTAACCACGCTAGCAAACGAACTGTTGCAATTGGATGGGATTTCCAGAATATTTATTGGAGTCCGTTTTCTAACAGCTACAAAAGGCCCGGAAACATCTTCAGACTGGGCCCATTTATCGCCTAGAATCACCTCCATCTTGGATTCATACTTTACAACAACGCCAACAGAAACAGCGCTCGATGAGGGAAACTTTATTGCGCCAGAAACGCTACAACGTGAAAATGGGGCCACCGTCGACTCTGACCACGAGGAGGTAACCAAGATGGTGATAGAACTTTTGGACACAAAAGTTCGTCCATACGTTCAGAGCGATGGAGGGGATATTGCCTTTATCGACTATTCCGATGGGATTGTTAGAGTAAAACTCCACGGGGCGTGTTCGTCATGTGCATCTTCCAGCGAAACCCTGAAGAGGGGAGTCGCTGCCATGATGAAATATTACATCCCAGAGGTTTTTGATGTTGTTGACGTAAATGAAGAGCCAGGCGGGCTTGATAGCGCGTCTTTGGAGGCTTTTGAGGCCTTTGAAAGTGAGCTGAAGAATAAAAATAATTAGAAGTCGGTACTTGCTCAATAAATTGGCAATGACTAACGCTTCAACAAGCCTGGGACGATCTCAACACAAACACCATTTAGTGTGCAACAAAAAAGGAAACAACCAGCCAATGCGGAAATATTGCCAATCAAAACCGTCACAAAATGAAATGGCAACGTTCAAAAGGGTTACGAGGGTTTGCGTACTTGTAAATTAGCCAGACCCACAAAAGACATGTTCGTTATTTTAATTTTCATCATGCCCTTTTATGAGCTCATTTGCATATCCAGGCCAGAGTTAACAAAGGTACTGACAAAGTGAGCGTTACCATAGGAAGCGTTTGCAAGTGGAATTAAGCGGGCAATTGTATCTATCTTGAAAAAAGAGGCCGTCGTTCACTCAATCAATTACATGGGGTTGGAGCCGTTGCCATATCGCATGAGAAAAAACTATGAATACCAGTACTTTGGAAGGTAATTTTGAACACGCAGCAAGCAATAGGTACTGGACGTTGAATTTTTTCTGCAATCCAACAGGCCTGCTCGCCATAAAGGCTGACCTTGCATCGGATGCAGAAATTATTAGACACCGACTGATTAAAAGGGCTACCAAGCTCCCCGATTTGCTTCGGGCAAACATCTGCTAATAAAAACTATTTTTTGGGTTTATTGCGTGGTTCTGTTAGGGGGAAATAAAACTGTAACCTTTGCATGAAGCGAGAAAGATCTTTTGAGGCAACCTGGATGGCCCAGGCATTTTCGATGCCATCTGTTCTAACTGAAGAGCCCGTGTCCAGGGCTGCCTTTTTAAATGCAGATCCGAACGATCTAGCGTGAGTGATGCAAAAATACATTTTCGGCACAAAATTGTGGTGTTTAGGCGCACATCCGACAACATTATACATTGATGCACCTCTGATAAAATGGGCCACCAAAAGAGGCATCTTAATTGGAGAAGAAGATTCCTGAAAATAAGAAAGTAACTTACATTACAATATTCACATAGAAACAGGGACAAAGAGGCCAATGCAGAATTGCTTGCCCACCAGTCAATTTGGGGACTGGCGATTTCCTTTCCAGTGTCGTCTTTTGAAATGGAAGGGCTGGCTTCTGTTTGGTCATGAGGAAGGACACACAGCTTGAAGGATTTTATGGTCTTTATCGTTTTGTTTGACAAAAGCATGGATGCTGTTCTATGGATACGCTCCAAATGCGCCTTTGATAGTTTAAGTCCTCGTTCTAAAATGGAATGCGAGTTTTTGCTACAAATAAAAAACTGGAGATACCCAGAAAAAATGCCCAAAGATAGCAGAAAGTTGCTTCTGGCAACATTTCTTTCTTTATCCTTTCTTTTGGTGTATGGATACCAAAGGAGGCCTTGAATGGCATGGATGTAGTCAGTTGCGGAGAACTTTATATTTGTCGAAAATTTGCGGATAAAAACAGAGATGGTTGGGTTTACAACGCCCTCTTCTGTAAAGCTCTTTTCAACTTGTGAGGCGATTCTTCTTCGTATGGAGGGCTCCAAAAAGACGTAAGGCTGGTTTGCTTCGGAAAGGGAAACCCTACATTGTCACTGAAATGCATGGGATACCCGATTTTGGCAAGGAAAATCTCAATTCGCCGTTTCCCTTTTTCAGACAATGTTTGGAACTTTGAGGCCGAGTGGATAGAATACATTAAAGATTTAAATAAAGTCCAGTGCTTAAAAAGAGATAAGTTAAGGGAATTTTCTTCCAAATAAATATCGCAATTTCCCAACAGGGTGTTGGAGTTTAGACGTAAAACCTCTTTTTCCAGCAGATTGACATCGTTGATGTATCTGTCCAGAGAAATTGTTTGAATTTGAAAAAGCGAGCAAGCTCCCACAATACACGCCCTGAAGATCCATGAACATACAAATAGTGCATACCATAGAAGCTCATTGTTGGTTTTGACGAGCTGAGAGGCAATGCTGTAAATAAAGCATGATGCGGAGACGCCAACGCCAGTTTCCCGGTCATAGTATGAGTTTACCTCGGCTTCGGCCTTCAACATGTCGCTTTTGGCCTAGCAATGGGCAGAAACCAACATACCTTTGTGCCGTTTACCCTTGTGCCGTTTGCCATTGTGCTGTTTGCCATTGTGCCGTTTACCCTTGTGCCGTTTGCCATTGTGCTGTTTGCCATTGTGCCGTTTGCCATTGTACCTCTTTCTTGGGCATTTGGCAGATTTTCTGTGCATTCATCATCGCTATGATGTTCAGATACCTCACCTTCAGAGTGCGATGAGGCTGGATCCGATTCGTGGTTATTATTTACAATCTACGGTAAAGGCGCAGTAAATACATTTTCCGTCAGCTGGAAAAAGGGCCACATATATGATGCCGTTGAAAAAAGTTCCCCATCATCAAAAATTTTAACCTAAAATAAGCGAGTATTGTGAACTTGTTCCGGAGCAAAAAGATTGTTCAGGTGAACGGGTCTATGGTGGTCGAAAACCACGATACAAGAGCCGTCTGAAAGCGAAAAAATGGCATCAAGATCGACAGTTGCGCCGCAGTTTATCATTATCAGATAGCGATGGCCCTAGCGTTGTCAAAGGGCATCAAGGTTTACATCCTGCAGGGGCTCAAAGTACTTTTCATTAATTTCGGACAATTCCAAAAAAGATGACAATACAATCAGGTCAAACAAAACAAATTCAGACTGTAAAAGCGCCTATGGGTAACATAATTCATATTGGCGTACGATCAATATTTTGGCTGCGCATAACGAGTCCACGTCGGGGGACACCAGTATAAGCAGCGGTTGCGATGACGATCTAACTCCGCTGACAATTTGGAGATATACTTCGCGAGCATATTCTATAGAAACTATCATTCACAGCTGCCAACGGGAGATCAGGAGAACAGGAAAAGGGCGCGCGAGAGTATAAATAAGCAAATTAATATGCAACTTCTGGACCTATCTTTTAACAAGGGTTAACAACGCAAGGCTATTATTAGGCACTTGAATTTAATAATTGGCAGCCAAATTTGTAACCCTTCCCCATGATTATTGGATGCCATTTGACTACGTTACGGAACCCGCTAAATTTCACTTTATCGATTTTTAATGCGGTCGACTTGCAGCACTGCAGCGCTGCAAACGAGCATGCAAGCATGGCTGCAACCGTGCACATTAATCATTGGACGGAATTAAATAAATTTACATATTCTCAGCTGGCAAAACAATAGGGTTGGTTAGTGCGTTTGTTTTCAAAAACTTCCAATCACTTAAATTAAAAGTCGGAACATATGTATGCATTTCCTGCTGATTGGTGCCCATAGCAACCAACCCTTTGATGTGGATTCATAAGATGTATTATCTTTAGACGAAGTGTATATATTGTTTATCTTTTGCCATTGTTATATAGGATACCCTTCCGTTCTCCTCATTGAGAAATATGACCGTACCTAAATCAACTGAATTTTTCACAACGTTTCGGATTTGTATGCTTTCTGAAGGATATTTTACTATTCATCATGGCCATCGGTCAGCTCAAAAGGTTTCCGGACAGTCTTCGTTCGAAACCATCCCTGATGAGCTTCTCTCCGAGGCTTGTGAGAGGTTGGAAATCCTTGCACGAGAAAAGGCGTCCAACCATAAAGTCAGTGTTTGCTTTTCCAAAGACTTTGATATGAACTCTTACGATCCGTCTTCGCGTTTTTTGTCGAAAATAAATTCAATCTCGGAGCTTTCATCTTCACAATCATGTGAGGATTTGGATAAATTTGTTTCCATCACCTTGTCTGGCTCTTCGGCGGCATCAATTGAGTCGTGTCAAAACGAGATCATTCAAGAGGCTATTTTGAACGTTGGCGAAAAATCGCCTTTATTGTCATACAGAAGGCTTCCTTTGCTTCAAGTTGGAGACTTTTCCAGCGAACAGAACCAGCAGGTCAGGGTAAGCAAAACTCATTTGACCCTGTTTTCGCCTGCAAGCTTGAACCATTTGCATTCACGTCAGCTATATGCCAAAATGCTGAAAGGCAAAGGATATAAAGCATTTGTGTCGGAGCTTCCAGTTGATGGATTAGTCCAGCTTTTGGTCCATTCTGGGCCCTATCACCTTGCTCTTCAATCTTTTCTTTTTGAAAATAGCGATGTCCACATCCTTTTGCCGTGTTCTCTGATTTTGTCCTCCAATGCAGACCAGCTGATAGTTTTGGAAAAGGAAGATAGGGCCGATAAAGTTGCAAAAAAAGCATCGGCGGACTTTCTCAAGGCGTCAAAGAAAGTGTCAATTGCATCCAAAAAATTGGTCTTCGACACAGTTGACCTATTTTTCATCCTAAATTCTGCAGTTTCAAAGGCCAAGTTGGTTGATCTCTTATTTCGTCACGGCTGTGTGCTACGAATATTTGAAGCACCAACCAACCCATCCAAGAAGCATTGTTTGACGATTTGTTTATATGGAGGCTCTATGGATATCATTGAAGAGGTTTCGCGAGAAATATTCACCCTAATTTGCCAATCCTCCAGCCATTTTGAAGCTTCAGGCACCAATTATAGCATTTCAGTTAAAAATGCGGGCGGCTTTTGTTCCGTGTTAGATTCGGAGAATATCAACGATCCTATTTTGATCCAATTTTCTGGCGTTCCTTCTCAAGCCTTCCACGCGGGCGAACCGAATTTATTGACCATCAATTCCCTAGTTTGTAAAGGAACAAAGGATTGCTTGCTCAAGACTTTATCGAACATTGAGCCGCTCTTTTGCCAGTCAAGTATTTTTTCTGCCGATATTTTTAATTCGTCGTATCAAGACAGGCATTCATTGCTTTCGAAATCATTGAGCTACTTGTCGCTCGCCAATTTATCGATCGATACTTGCTTTACATACAGAATTGGGACGCTCTCCCTTGATTGCGAATTTATTTCCGGAAAAAAAGACGGAAAGTTATCAAAGATATCTCGAGGCACCGGATGTCAAGTTCTGATGGACGTTCCTCAGGGCTGGAGAACCGACATTAAAATCACATCTCAAAGCCTTCCTTTGCTGGTGAAGGCGGTTGAAATGCTCGAGGGTGAACTCCCTGCATCGTTGTCGTTTTTCGTTCCCGATCATCATCACAAAAGAATTATCGGACACGGAGGAAAGCACATCCAGAAATGGATGAAGCTGTTCGGAGTTTATGTAAAGTTTTCCAACAATAATACCGGCAATAGTAACCCGATTATTTTAACCCATCCAAACGATGGCAAGAAGGGGGCCGGGGGAGCGGGGAGCGACATATTTTTCCAAAATATCCGGCCAAACGTCCTTATTCGAACACCAGCAAAAAATATACATGCTCTAGCTCAGATGAAATCAGCCATTCTCGACTTGGCAGGCGAGGAAGACCAAACTCTGGGTGTGTTTGCGAGTCACAGCCACAAGACGGCTGAAGCTTCAAATTCTTTTTTCATCCCATCACTGGTACCGGAGGTTTCTATTACCGGGAACACTGCGAGTTCGCTCCACTTTTACGTTGCACTTTTAAAACAAATTGAGACCACCTCCGACTTTGATGCCAACCAGAGGAGCATCAAAACTGCCAATGTTGACGTGCCAAAGCCAGAAATCTGCCAATATCCGCATGATTTTTACCTTCAAGAGTGTGTAGAACAGGAGCTTGAAGCATCTATTGAACTATTGTTTGAAGACGGCGGGCTAGATTCGATTAGCTCCTTCAAATTATCAAAGTCGAGTCTTTTGGCGATGGAAAATCTTGGAGCAAAAAATGCAAATAGCAGTGTGAATGACACCCGATTCAACCTGAAAGACTTTTCAATGACCATCAATGCAACTCCAGCTCCAGCTCCAACCCCATTCCAATCTCCATCCTCCTCAAAGTTCCCCGCAATATCACGGCCCGCATCAACAACAGTCCCTAATACCATTTTTCCATATCCATTTTCCATAGCTAATCGCAAGGGTGAAGACTATTTCCACTGGGATTCTCTCCTGGGGTTTGGCAGGGCGTCGATGTCATTGGGAGGGACCGTCTCACCTATCTCCTCGACTCGGATTTCGTCATCCCCAATCCGACCTGTATAATATGAAGCCCGTTTATATAAAAATAAATTAGTTAATTACGAAAAATTTACAATTGTTTATTTACTGCCTCACCTGAGAAACTTTACAATAGCTCCGATGATTGCCAAAAGAAAAAGGGCATACATGGTGACGAGCCAGTTTTTCCCATGCGAAAGTTGATATTGTTCAGTCTGTGGTAACAAACACAAAAATACCTTTGAAAAGGCAATATTGGCTGCCTTCAGGTGCCGAAGCGATGCCTCAACATTCAAGTCAATCCTGTCTATCATGTTGCCCTGATGCGATAGCATCTCCGTCATCGCATGCATCGCGCTGAGAATGTCAAATAGCTCCCGGTGTATTGTAGTCACGGCGGCAAGATTGTTATCGGACGCCTTCTAAAATAACATATGTCGCATGGCTATCATTACATATGAGAGAAGAAGGCTCTGGTGTTGGGAACCTCCAGTATGGGATAATACGTTAGAGTTGTAAAGGGGTTCTGAATGTCCACTTTCCGGAATGGGCATGGATTTGTACGTGCTGCTGCCTTTGGCAAGGAGCTCTTTGGAAGAGGAAATGGTAAACTTTGTTTCAAGCTCTTCATATTCTGTGGATATTTCAGACAAATCAGCCGCATAAGCTTTGCATGCATTTGATAGCAGTTGCTGACATGCTAAATTTGACTGCGCTAGCATTCCTACATATGAAATCATATTCAGACAGGATCTAAATTCCTAGGAAACATTAAAGAGAGCACAAACATTTGTAAGCTGCAATCTAAGTTCAAGTATCTTTTGGTCGTCAGAGGAAAAGTCACCAAATCCTATAAGGACCCTCTTGGAATATATTTGAGACGCAAGAGAAACTAGAAATGAAATTAGCAATCAAAACAATGGAAATGCGTAGAATCAATGGGTAATTTTAGCGATCACACATAGATAGCTCAAGTGCCTTGGCCGGAAATTGAAGCAAAAATTAAATCTACCTTTTGTCCGGATATTTGAAAGAATACTCTTGATCTATGAAAGGATGATAAAGAAGGGTATTGGCAATACTTGAATTAGGTAGGGATACCTAAAGTTAAAGGCAACGAAGCTGGTTACCATGGATATACGGAAGTATGGGAAGACTGAGAGTTTTTTTGGGACGCGTTATTTCTACTCCATGAAGACAACGAGGGGGTTCGTTCAAAAGAAGACTCATCGATCAACGGTTGACGTACATTGGAAATAGCAATAAAAGAGTCCCTATATTCACGGAACAATTCCCATCTTGATCGGATGCGCGGATGTTGGATCATATGATATGTGTCGTTTATCGAAGTGGCATCAAAATGTTGGAGTAAAGGCGTGGCAGGCATAGTAGACAATATTGTGGGATTGCAGGCCTGCAGGATAAAAATTAAAACTTTTACTTCCATTACGTATAGCCAGTTTCTCCATTAAAATTAAATTCAAATTAAATTTCAACTTCAGCTCGGTACGCTATGGTGATTGTTGCTTTCTCAAAGTCAACGTGAAGACATACCGATGTTATTTAGGCAATTCAACTGCAGGAAGACAAGATGAACAACTAAAAATAAGCCCATAACCCTAAAGATGCATTCAAAACTATTTAAAGCTTTCCCATATCTGGCTGATGATTATGCGGTAGCATCTTTTGGCATATGTTGGAAGCATTCTCAAGGTCAATTTAAACTTTGCCCAAACAGAATCATATGGAATATCAATAGGAGGGTAAAATCTTTTCTACATCTTGCATTGATAAGTGCTAGGGAGGCGTTAGGGTTTTCTATGTTTTATGTCGTGATAGCCAGAATTATGCAAGGGGACACTTGGGCTAGGGTTAGCCTTAGATTTTACTCGGCCATTTTTCTTCTACTACAAGAAAATCTGGGGTTGGGCGATCACTATGCGTTATTTTATCATAAAAATGCAATTAAATGGGATGAAATATCTGGTTCTTGCGAAAGGCTATCAACAGACCGCTAGCTTGGCCAACCAGGTTTTCCTTAGGCGTAAATCGATACAGGCAGGTGGAGTTAATAATTCAATCTAAAATGGAAATATTTAAAGGGAGCTAATTAACGGATGTGTGCTGTGAAACTAAACCACTAACCACCGGATCAGCTATTACAAATGTACACCCGTAAGCTAAGTTGACTCGACTGGATAAATTGCACTTGAAGGTGCATCGGAGGTGTGCAAAAACCAAGGAGATCCTTAAAAATCCCTCTCACTTTTTCTTCTCGCTTACGCTGATTAGCATCTATCATCTGGAAGAATCTGATTTGCAAGACATGCTCCAATATCTGGCATACTCTTTTGGAGCGATTAGTTCTATGAATTTTCTGGATAACAGCCCTGAGAGTCTGAAACCTATGGTTTTAAGGGTTATCGCATCTTATGACCAGATCTTGCAGCAATGGACATACTTTGCAGGGAAGTTTAACAAGCCATATTGATTGGAGCTATTGAAGCCTATCAAGTTGCAGTTAAAACGCAGCACCAAGTACGATTTGAAAAACGTTGCCATAAAAGCCAAGATTTTTAAAGGTAAATTGTACCTCAGCGTATGTGCAAAGGACCCCAAAAAACGCTTCGATCTGAATCAGTTTAAGTTGCCTTTGCTTCCTAATGGTGAAAAAACTTGTAAGAAGATGAGAATTAAGCATGACAAAGGGGCCTGAGTCGATCAAAAGGTCTTTGTTGTGTTTTCTACTCAAAGCAGCAATGCTTTGATGCGCAAAAATGGGACATTTTAATAAATTTTTTGTTTGACACATGTTTTGTGTGCATTGGCCCCAAACTTACGACTCATACAAATGGGGAAGCCCACAATTTTCAACACAAGTGAATAAAAAATCATGTCAATGAGGACATTAGTGCAAGCATGCATCTCGATGCGCATATAAAAACCTACTCAGATTTAGACACCTTCTTATTAACAGTCTGCCTTGTTTATTTGTTCCTATTTCAAAGTTGATAACACGAATAAATGGAAGCGCTAAAACCAACTCTAAATAAAGGCAATGTTGATTGCATCTTATAGCCTGGTTTTATAGTAACTCGTCCAAATAGACATGCATCATATTTGGACAGATGGTTTGGATTAAGCCAAAACTAGATCGATTTAATGGTGCTATTATATTTTCAATATTCAAGTGCATTGAGGTTAGGGTGAAAGATACCTTTCCGCATCAAATAGACGAAAAAGAAACCGCAGGAGAAAGAGACCAAATATCCCCAATGAAAGCGAAGACCGCGCTTTTAGAAGGCGCCATTCCAAAGTTGAAAAAGATTTGCGAAAAAATTGGAGTCTTGCCTTGATGTCGCTATGAACTAAAAGGGTTTCTTTTGTCACCAAGTCTTGTAAATTCTTGTTCCAGCAAATTGAATGTTCAGGAATGATATAAAACATAAAATTATGTGAAAAAACCATGAAAGACCCCGTTCTGGTCCCTTGTACACCTGGCTATGTGTGGGGACGAGGGAGCAGAAGAAGCTACTACGGATGTTGCAGAAAACCAGTGCATTGAAGAATTGAGCTGTTCCTTTCTGCTTTTCTTGCCAATGGAATGGCTTTTAAATGTGATGGGGCAGTGAAAAACAAGCAGTTTTGCATGAAAACTGAGCGCCGTGGATACATTGCAAAGATGTTGATGATGTGAACACTGCAATCATGAATTGTTTTCAATTGAGATCTCTTTTACAGGTTTCTTCCGAATAACAATTTTGCACCTTTTAGCACGAGATGATGCGGCGATGATGGTGTTGAGAGGCCCTGCTCATGAGAGGGATCCGGTGTCTGAATCCAGATTTTGAATTTTCCAAGCGTCGTCTTGTATGCCTTTTGAGAAGAAACCTTCAAAGATAGCGGAGAGCAAAATTAATGTGCGGAAGGGTCTTCAATTGTAGCATTTGAAGCCTGTTTGCAGTCAATATGTCAAAAGTGGATGATTACAAATGGACGCATGCTGTTGGATTTCTGCAGCCGTTGCTCGAGTATGGGGATCCTCTAAAAAGAGAGCAGCTAGAAACGAAATGTCGTTTTCTGAAACCCGTCCGGCCAAATCACTAAAAGAATCGGAGCAGACTGAAAATTTCGAGTCCGGAATTTGTATGCAAGTGTGCCAAATGACTAAATATCAATGGGCTATCAACACTGGGTCGCTCAAGCCAATTTACTCTCACTAAAAGATAAAATAAAAGCCAATTCAGGGCTAAATATGCCGGTGTTCCACAGTCCATTGGATAGGAGTCGGCGATAAAGTTCTCCTTGGCGATTGAAAGCCCAAAACCGACCGGTTTATGTATGCAAATTGAAGGGATAAGCTTACAGCGGTCACGCAGCCCGTTTTTTGGAGAATTTTTGAAAGCTTAATATATTAATGGAGAATCCCATGTCGATGCGTAAAGGAAATGCCCGCTGCAATTGAGAGCAGATATGCTCTGACTTTTGCTTCGCATAGCATTCCGCAAGAGTCAAAAAGATGCTGTGAACGCGTTCCTCGCCATACACATTCGCTAAAATTAAATGGGTGATTTTTGGATTTGGCCTCGCGCTCAACAATTGATGGGTGAAGCCTCATTTTCAATGTCGATGGCTGAGGACGTGGATATCTAAATGATAAATCGCTACGTGCTACCAGCTCAAGGGAAAAATTGAAAGTATCTGGAAATTGGTGTCTTCAATAAACCTTTGACGAGGAGCCGCACGCAATTTTACCAATCAGGCGATAGGTGCGGCCATCAATTGTATGCGACAAGATCAAATAATTTCAATATCCAATTTATTAAACCCTAAATTTTCAACCAGCTTGCCTATGATTCCTACGCCCCAGGCTCAACAGGCACAGTATGATTAGATGATACGTTGGTTTGATATCAAAAAGTAGAATTCACGTTATAATTCTTTTTACAGCAACAAAATATGCGGAAAAATTGCGTATTGCAGAAAAACTTGGCTAATTTTTCGTATAATCCTAACCCAGAAAATGCCATAATTAGCGTGAAAACAGCGAAAAAGACACTAGAAATGAGAAATGCAAACACATTTAAAGAGGAAAGAATCTTAGTTGTGGTAAAGGTAACTAGGAAAGCACATAACCAATTTAAAGTATATCCAAACGGATTATAAGCATTCTGAAGGCTTTTGGGTAGGATTTCTGGAGTAATCATCCAAGGGCTAGGTCCAAATCCAAATGAAAAACAAAAGATAAAGCAGAATGCAGTAGCAGATTTTATAAGCGCTATATTTTCCAAGAAACCAGGGAAAAAAACTAAAAACAAGATTAAACATACAACTCCACTAATTAAAATGATAGATTTTATATCAAAATGATTCACTAGATTGCCGAGACAATTATTGCATGCATCTTCCGAGTCTTTTAGAGCCTCAATTGCAACATTCAAAAGAGTTCCAACGAAATTTGCAACACCCAAAACGATATAAATATTCGGCGAGTCGGCAAATATCTCTTCTGTGTATGAAAAATATCCGCTAATAGAAGAGAACTGTTGAAACATATACAAGCAGACGAAAAGTATCAAATTTTCAAATATTTTTCCAAAACCCGCATTAGGGTCAGAGTCGAGGTTAGAGTTAGTCTCATTATTATCAAGGCTAGGGCTAATACCATTCAGCTCAATGGTTTCTTGGATGTTTGGGTTAGGGTTAGAGTTAGAAAGAGAAATAAAAAGACGACAAACTGCCAAAACGCTAAATAGAAATGATAATAATGCATTTGCGGCATTAAAGTTCTTCCACGCAGAAAAAGATCTATTGAGAACATACTGCTTCAGGAGTCCAGAAAAAAGTATTCCTGCTGCAATACTTAGTTGATAAGAGATTTTAAATCTCTTGGCTATAGCCTTAGAATCTGAATCCATGAAGAAACGGTTATAGGTAACATCAGCGACTTTTCTAGAAATCCCAATACCCATTCCAAAAAAAAAACGCCCAAAAGCTAGAATCTTCCAATTGAAGGAAAAAATTAAAATCGTTGTTCCAGTAGCGAATAATATTGAACACAAACAATTATACCCTTGGATGTTCCATTCAGGGGCAAAAAATATGCTAATAAAAGATGCAAGCGCTCCGCCTAAATAAAAAAAAGAAACAGCAACAGAACGTTCTATCTCAGAGCCAACTTTGAAACTAAAAAACGAGTTATGTATATGTAAATAC